GATAACATGGCTCGGGTGAGATGTGCCAGGGGGTGCTGCTGGTCCCCAGGGTGGTGAAGCCTGCAGCAAGCTCCTGGTACCAAACCATCTTCCCAGGGGCAGCCGTGGAGCCTTCCCAGCTCTGGCCGACGGGAGCAGAGAGCAGCAGGCCAGGCAGCAGCGGGTTAAAAGCTCAAGGTGGGACCTGGTGAGCTGCTTTCTCCCTGCTAACAATAATAAAGCAGAGGGAGAAGGGATGCATGGGGCTCTGCAGGGCCAGATAGCGATGGAGCAACCCCGGCCTCGCAGCTGTGGCAATGCCAGAGGAAGCCTCGCCACATTATCTGCTGGCCCCACTTGGCTTCCTTGGCAGCCCTTGGGCTGCAGGGACCAAGATGTGCTTCCTCCTGAGCCACGTTTCTCATGCACCCAGGCTGGCTCCCAGTACTTTGATGGCAGCCCTGCGCCCCAGCACCCTCCCAGCACTGCACCCCCCTGAGACCTGCAGGTCCCCAGACGATCCAGCCTTCCCAGCACCAGTCTACCCGACTGTTTGTGTCTCTGGGAACAGTCCCTTGGGGCTCTAAGCCACAGGACTGCAGTGCCACCCGGCATGGAGATGTCCCCACCGTGACCATCCTGCTGCCCCATCCCCCCATGCCATGGACAGTGCCCGCACCTTGGCAGAACAAAGAGCTGTTTTGGCTGGAAGAAGACTCCTGCCGAGGGGATCTCCAGGTCCTGGCTGAGGTCCCTGCAGTTCTGGTTGCCTCTGCTCCCGGTCCTTCCCTGACCAGCAAAGGTCTGCTGCACCTGGAGCTGCTGCGGCTGGCTGCCCTGGCCACACTGGCTTGTGTCCCAGCGCTTCCTCGTGTGCTGGCTGTTTGTGACCTGCCTCCTGCCTGCTGCTCCACCTCCGCAGCCACATCTGTGTCATAGGAGCTGCCCTTTTCCGTTCCCAGTCTCCTCTTTTGGCCCTCTCCTCCTGGAGCGGTCTTTGCCTTTCAAGGGGCTCTGCCTGCTGCTATTTGCCCCACTTGGGCATGGGAGGTTGCCTCTCAAAATGAGTCTTGCCCTGATCCTGGCAAGTCCTGCCAGGACTCCCCATGTCCTCCCCACTCCTGTCCTGACCCACGGACCTGCCTGACCCCAGCTCCTGGTGCAACAAGTCTTTGCCAGTGGCTATTGGGCTGAAAGAAGGCAGCTGGTGGAAGACTCTCAAAAATATGGGCCTTTCCCTTTCCTTGACTGAAGTCAATCCCTGGAGCATGGCGAACTGCTGGGGTCCCCAGAGCAGAGCTATGTTTGCCCCCAGATGCTACTATGGCTCCACAGGGGCTGGTGGAGGCAGTCTGAGCTGCTCTGGGTGACAACATCCCCACCCACGGTTCCTGGAAGTCCCCAGACATGTTCCCGTGCCCTTGTGCAGCCCCTGCATGAAGGGTCCCCAGGGGGTTGTTGAGATTTCTCTACTGCTGGATCCAGCAGCCCCCTGTGGCAATGCACTTGTCCAGTTGGCACCTGATCCCCAGCTTCAAAATAGAGATGGATCAGCTGCTAAAAGCAGATAGATCCCAAATCATCCTTGCTCTGTCCCAAGGAGCTGCTGGATGGCCAGGTGGAGCTGGCATTTCAAGTGCCTCCTGGGGCACTGTGCAGCATGCAGCCCGGTGAAAGGACACAGGGCATGGTGCTCAGGGCTGCATGTTGCCATTATGGTGGGCTGGGGGGACGCTGAGGTCTGACACTGCCCAGAGCCAGGAGATAAGCCTAACACAAAGGGCAAAGTTGCCAAAAGGGAGTGAGCGAGGCAGGAAACATCAGGCAGGAGAGGAAACGGGGATATAATCAACTGCATGAGCACAAACGCCCGGAACTTGTGCAAAGCAAAAGCTGACACCTCTTGGCAAGCATTTGAGCAGGGAGATCTGCCTGTCTGGCCCCTCCACTGAGGATTCTTGAGGAACACACATCCTGGAGCACCTTAAGGTGCTCAGGCATCCCTGGCCTCCGAGTTACCATGGCGAGCACAGTCCCTGGCAGCTCAGCTCCAGCATGCGTTCCCTGGGATAAGCCTTGTCTTGGAGGGTGGAAAGATGGGCTCCTGGGGAGCTGCTGGCCTCGCTTGTGATGGCAAAGTACTCACCAAGGGTGATTCCCAGTTGCAGAGGCCCAAGCTGGGTCACATTGCCCAGTCTCCCGTTGGCTTGAAAAATGGGATCGACTGACCTGCTGCCACTTGGCTCTGTGTGGCAATTAGCCTGCTGTCCCGGCACCCGAAGGAAAGACCAGTGGCTGATGCTCATGGTGCTTCAACATCCAGCAGCCCCTTGACATTTGTTCTCATCCCCAGCAGGTGGGCTTATAGTAATGCCAGAGCAGACCACACACCTGCAGAGCTTCCCATTCCTCCTCCCACCACCTTTGGGACACAGGGCTACCCACGTTCCAGGTGACCTGCCCATGCTGTGATGTCCCAGTTCCCAGGGGACCGGAGAGAGATGCTCACAGGTTTATCAGCCTCCCAAGCTCAGCCAAAACCCTGCTGCCACAGGAGGTGGGCAACCATCCTGTGTCACCAGCACTGCAGGCCATCAGCCAAGCCGATGGAGCTTGTCCCAGTTTTCAGCAGTCCCATTTCTCCCCATGTTCCCAGGGGAGCAGCTGCATCTGTCTCATGGGGCTGGCAATGATCATGGCGGGGGGCTATAAGCTGTCTGCAACCAGTGGTGGGATCCCTGGCATAGCTTATCTCCCAGGATCCAGCACATGGCATGGGGCAGAAGGGAGAAACATGGAGAGAGACGAGCATGGAGCCAGCACGCAGTGACTGGCCGGGCTCCAGCTGGCTTGTGCAGAGCAACTGGGTCAGGAGAACCTCTGCTGAGGGGCAGGGAGGGTGCTCAGTGGAGGCTTGGCCATGTCTCTGAGCCAGTGCTTGGCTGAGCACATCCATACAGCTGCAGGATCAGGCCCTTCACCCATGCTCCTGTCCCTCAGCCATTCCTCACCAGGGATTTCTCTCCTCTTTCTGCCATTGCAGTGCTCACAAATACCTGGGGAGGTGCCCAGGTGGGCACTGACTCCTCTGGCCACAGACAGGAGCTGGGAAAGAAAAGAGCAAAAAGGAGTGAGCATTTGCATGGGAAATCAGGTGGCTGGGAAGAGCCCAGATGGTTTGGAGCTTCCCCATGGATGAAGCAGCCCTCAGCTGGGGCAGCAGTATTGCTCCCATCCCCAGCATGGCTCAGTTTGTTTGGGCAGATGCTGAGCACAGGAGGAGAAAGCCAAGGCCAGCGTCTCCACGCCAGGGAGCACCCACGCAGCAGTGGGTACCTCGCATTAGTACAGCTCCCTGCAGCAGTGCTGGCAGCACTGTCACCCGAGGGCCTTGGAAAGCACAGCATGGGCTTGGAAAAGTGCACGTCAGCCTGGGCATGGGGAAGACAGAGAGCTCCAAACAGCCCGGGGGCTTGGCTTCCTTTGGCACAGCCAGGTGGGGGTTGGCATTAGCCCCATGCCAGGGATGGGGCAGTGGAGCCCCAGCTCCAGGAGGGAAGTGGGACCCGGCTTTGACCCAGGTGTTCCAGCAATTGCTCCAGAAAGGATCTGCCCATCCATTATGGAAAGGGTCTGCAGAGTGAGGGATCCCCTCTCCATCTGGGGATGCTCCCAGCACCTCTGAACTTCACAGGGGCATCTTGCCTCTCCTATCCCTGGCTGGGCACCTGGGCTGCTCGGGACCCCAAGAAGGGGGGTACAAGGAGCCAGGAGTCCAAGCTCACAAGCTGTGGCAGCAATGCTACCTCCAGCCACAGGCACCCTGTCCCCAAGCCCAGGCTGGCACGGAGGTTGCAGATGCTCCCTGCTGTCCCCTTTCCCATCCTGTCAAAAGTCTTGGCTACCAAAATGCCACTGGCTTGGGAGGAACTGGAGCCAGTGAGGAAGAAAAACTCACTGGAGCCTGTGACTCACTGGGTTGTGGGTGCCAAGGCTTGTTAGAGCTTGTTGGGGCACAGCTCGCCTCAGTGGGACAGAGACATGGTCCCAGCCCAGTAGACTGCCGCCATGTTCTGTCTGCCTCAGGGGGTGAAGCCTGGGTATGGGGACTGCAGCATTTGTGCTCCTGAGTGGGAAATGGGAGGACTCCTGTGCAGAGCAGTGCATGGCCTCAATATTCCCAGCAAAGCTGGTGCTGCCAGGCAAGCCCCCACTCCAGGGGAGAGGTACAACCCCAGAAAAGCCCAGAACCAGAGGGACAGAGGTGCTTGATCTGATCCTCCAGATGAGAAAGAGGAGGTGGTGGCCTCTGAGGGAAGGAACAGTGGGTTTGCCTCTCCTGCAAGCCAGGCTGCTCTGCCCACCTGAGACTAGGCAGGGTTTTGAAGGAGCCTTGGCTCCTTTTCTCCATATCCCCCCAAGGAGAAGCTCTTTCCAGAGATGGCAGAACCCTCCTTGGAAAAACCAGTACCACCCCAAAGTCCTTTTCTTTGGGAGTGTTACCACCTCCTGGGCAAATTTATGCAGCCCAGGGCTGCCTGACCAATGCAGAAGCCCAGAGGTTCTCAGCCTCTCCATCCTGCAGAAGTGCCATTCCCACGCTGTGCTCCCCCATGGGACTGGGGTTCCCCCACCCAGGGGTACCATGCCCAGTTGGAGCTCCACTGGGAATGGCTGCCCTGGAATTGCAGAACTGGACTGTGGTGCTACTGATCCTCCCATTCCAGCCCCAAGGCTGCTCCCAAAGGCACTGTGTCCAGCACAAAGTCCTCCCAAAAATCTGTAGCGAAGACACCATGCTTTGGGTGGAAGCATGGCAGAGAGCAGGCAGACTTGGGCACATTCAGTGGCCAGGGAGAACAGCAGGGCTTTGGGCTGATTATGTGTTCCCTGGGACCTTCCTTCAGCTCAGAGCAGCCAAAGGCAAGGCAAGCAGACTGCTATAATGCTGGGTTATTTTTTGCAGGGGCCAGCTCCAGGCCAGGGCAGAGACAGTCTCAGTGCGGGCATTGCAGCTGGGAGAAGGCACAGGTACTAATTGACTTTATTTATTAACAACATGAAGGTAGGGATCACAGGCTGCCCTGCATGCCCGGTGGAGTCCTAAGTAGGTCCCTTGCAGACCACAGAATGCTGAGCATCCCGGTGCTCCAGGGCACCTGGAGAGTCCCCTGGCACTGTAGGGTCCCTCGCAGGGACAGAGTGGTCACCAAGGAATAGCTTTACCTTCCCAGTTGAGCAGAGTCCCGCTGTGTTTCTCAGAGAGGATCAGCAGTACAGACAGCAGCCCCCGCACACTCGTGTCCACCGTCAGGTCAGCCTGCAACGGGTATAAGTGAGGAGCAGGACTGAGACACCACTGTCCTTCTCAGCCATCCACCAGCACCCACGCAGCTCATGCACATTGGCAGCAAGGCTCCTTCCACCCAGACCGAGTAGAGAGCCACAGGAGGTGGGATAAGCCCGTTACGTGGGAGGATGGTTGGGTATCTGCATGCTCACTGATGGCTTGGATGGAGGTGGCTTGGGCTGGGAAGCCAGCTACAGGTTTAACTCAATAGGACACATAAGAGATTGCTGCTGCAAGCGGGATGCTATGCGCAGCCTTCTCAGAACTCCAGGGTTGCAGCGACCACCTCCACCCCAAAACAAGGATCCTGCAGGATGAGTAGATACCTCATGGACCCGCAGCTCTTCAAGGAACGGGGCACAGGATGGGGTGGTGCTGCTGCTCCTCTCCTCCCTGCTCTGTCAAATTCAGGTTCCCTGCACATCTCCAGGCCGCCCAAAGCCCCTTCCCCCTGAACAGGCCTCCTGCTCACCCTGGATATGTGCTGATACTATTTCCCAGGCAGCACCCACGTTCTGGAGTGGCCCAGCACAGATGCAGGCAACTTGTAGCCCAGAAGGCAGCTCATTCTCGCATGGATCCCTCCTCCTGAGAGCCATCTCAGCCACCTGAGGCACCCCCTGTGCAAATTTGTAGGCTTGGGTCCCACACATGGGTTCCCCCCTCAACCTGCTCAGCCAGAACTCACCTCCTGGCTGCCCATATCAGTTTTCACCCAGCCGGGGTGAAGTGCCACGCAGAGGATCCCGGCTTCCCCGTAGGTCAGAGCCTGGCACTTGGTGAGCATGTTGAGGGCAGCCTGGGGGAGGAAGGAAGCATCAGCCATGGGCAGTAGAAGGCTCCATGTATCAGGCTCCCCACCCATCACTGCCTCATGGCAAGGGAGAAAAAGCAATGCCAAGTCTTCAAGAGATAGTGTGTATCTCCTCTAGGTGGGCAGCAGCTGGGCATGGAGATGCCCAGGGAACTTGGACAGTGATCAGCATGGATCAGTCCCTCCATTTCGTGATCTCAGGTTCTTCCCTGAGATCAGGCCTGGTAAGGGGCAGCTCTCCCACCGAGCTCATGAGCACAGGCAGGTCCCCAGTCTCCATACCTTGCTGCAGCGGTAGGAGATCACAGGCTTGAAGAAGGACTCGGGAGTTTTCTCAATGGACCCCATGATGGTGGAGATGTTGATGATGGCTGCCTTGCTGCAACTCAGTCCCTTTTCTGTGCTCTCCCGGGCAGCCTTCTTCAACAGGGGCAGGAACGCCTGGGGAGAAGGAACCTTGTGGAATGCCTGTGCCTCGAGCCAGCCCCACTTATGGCAACTGCAACCCAGGCTGCCTATGGCAGGGCGGATGAGGAACAGCAGGAAGCCAAGAGAGCCCAGCTGTTTTGCTGCAGTGGCCCTGCCTGCTCCCAGTTAGCCCAGCACAACACAGGGAGGCTACAGAGGGCTTGGGCTGGGAGCGCAGCCCTAGCACTCCCCCCTCCCTCCCGCAGCCCCAAGAAACTCCGAGATCTCCATTGTGACCACGGACAGCCTGGGATAGCCTCAAGCTGGGCCAAATTCCCCCTCCACGGTGAGCTCCATCCCCAGAGCTTCATCCATACCTGGGCCATCAGCATTGGCCCCACCGCATTGGTCTTGTATGTCCTTATCATCTCTTCAGCATCTACCGTCTCCAGTGATGCCGTCGGGGTGTAGATGCCGGCATTGTTTATTAGCAGGTTCAAGCCCATGCCATTCAGCTTCCCCTCCACAATCTTCACTGCATCAGTAATAGCGGAGGGATTTGCAACATCTGCAGTGGAAGAGAACAGGGTTTGAGAGCCATGGGGTTCACCTGGGGGACCAGGGGAGGAGAACGAAGTCAAGATGCTGAGGAACAGCTATGCAACCCGACCTGTGTGGCCTTCCTTCCATCTGTGGGCACCAGATGGTGCTGTGCAACCAGCTCAGAGCACCCCAGCACCCACCAGTCCCAGCTCATCCCAAAACTGCCTCCTCTGCCATGCACAGGGTGCCCCCCTACCGGCAGCTGAAGGATCCTGCCCTGGGGCAGCCCACCGGGCAAAGCCACCCTGGGGACAGCCCCATGCTGTGTCAGGCACCAGCAGCCACAGCCTCCTGTCTGTTGACAAAGTCCCTGCCTGAGCAAGCTCTGGAGAACCCCAGGGGAGTCTTGGGAGGGGGGGGGGGGGGACAGTCCCCACAGGGGCTGTGCCGGGACCTGCTGTGGGATGGCTCTGCAAGGTCCTACAGCTCCTGCTCAAGCTCTGGGCCGATCACACAGCGTTTCCACAGGAGCTGTCTTCCTCCTGGAGCCCTCCTGGTCTCGCCTGGGACTTGGGACCAGCTGCATGGCAGAGCAAGGATGCAGCCACTTGGCTGGGGGAGCTGGGGACCACACAGGATGGATCTCAAGAACCTCCTGGTTCTGTGGCCACGGGGCAAGGAGGTGCAGGGAATGGGCTACTGGGGCTGATACAGGTCTGGAGAAGCTGGGCTTTTGGCAGCAGGACTTGAAGCAGCTCTGAAGAACTGGATCCCCATGTAGAGCCTGAAGGGAGGGAAGGAGAAACGGGGTAAGCGCGGCCAGCAGCCACACATTTACCAGCTCAGAGGCAGAGCACACCTACCCAGCTTCACAAGAACCAGGTTTGGGTGTTTGGATGCCAGATCTCTCAGCTCCTACAAAAAGAGATAGGGAAACAATCAGCATGAGGCAGAGCCGATGCCAAGCATCATCCTGGGGCACCAGCAATGGTCCACCCTGAGGGAAACATTTGCAGATGTTACTCAGTGCTTGTGAATGGCTGGACTGGAGACCTGCCTCGGTTCTCAGGCTTCTTCTGGACTCCACAAAGCAATGTGCATGTGCTCAGAGCATGGCAAGGCCACGACTGCAAGATACTATGGCCAGTCTCCCAAAGGGTCTACGTGTACAACCAAGCCAGAGCCACAGCAAAGGACAAGAGCAAACTATTAAGGACCAGCTCCCCCCAAAAATTATGCAAACTGGCTGAGGATACAGCCAGAAGTGTCTCCCAGAGGCTGCTGGAAGCGAGGTGGAGGAGGAATGGCTGTGAGTGCCAACATCAGACTTGACGTTTGGGGAAGTCACGTCTGGATCCAAATAGCCCAATCCCAGGATCCACTCTGCTCTGGACACTAACGTCTCACCCACTCAAGTGAAATGAACCATTTTGCATATTTTTATTGATTATTTTCACCAAACACGGAGGATTCAGAAGCCCTTTCCAAAAAGGAAACTTTCAACTTCAAGGTTCCTAGCAGCTCTTTGCTCTGAGCCTTCTTCAATATAGCAGGTTTTAGACAACAGAAACAAAACCACCACATTCAATGTGTCCAAAATGATTGCTTTTAGAACTAAAAACATCTTACAAACAAGCCCACAGAGAATGCTACAGGAGAAATGCAAATTGGTGGCTTCTTGTGAGAGGACCTGTCCTACCAACATGGAGCAGGAGAGCTGCTGGTGCTGGTTGTGGTCCACCTTCAGTTATCTCTGGGCTTCCCCCTGTTCCCACATACCCCCTGGGCACAGGAAAGGATGGAAAAAATCCATCTAAATGGTTTGCAATAACTAACAGACATTTCTCCTCCCATTTTGCCCAGCTGCTGGCCTCAACAGCCTCGCACCGTCCTGGTGCGAGTCCAACCTCACCCAGCCCAGAGTCTGATCTGGGCACAAAGGGGCAGGAGGAGCAATGTGGCACCTGGGGTGGCACCAGCCTGACGGAGGATCACTCTGCCCTCAGTCTCCTGTGGTCATGGACTTCAGCAGCAATACCCCGAAGACACTGCCCTCACCCTACCACAGCTGGACAAGGTTTAGAGAAGCATCCCTCGGCTGAGAGCGATGCGTGTGGACCATCTTGGGTGGAAACTGGCTCCATTCCAGCCCCGCAAAAAGTCCTCTGATCTCATCATTGCCCGAACCCAGCAAAGTTGGCGGGGGGAAGAACGGGGCAAAAATGAGAGACCTGAGCTAGCTTTGACTCAGCCAGCTTGGGCACCAGGAGCAGCAGGAGCTGGGCACCCCTGGGCTGGCGGCAGGGTGGATTCTCACTGCACCGGCATCACTCCTGAGCCAGAATAACGCTGGCAGCGAGCACATGGAATGCATCTCAAGGACTTCCTAACATGTCATCCCTGCACACGCCGTGCTGACCCCTGCGCACAACCAAGCTGCGAGAAAATGCAGCAAGCAAATCTGCCGGAGCCAGGATCTACCAGAGAGCAAATGTCACCTCACTGGTATTTCCGTGGGTCACAGTAAGCAGAGGAAAACCAAAGCTGGACCTAAGGAAAACTGGGAGTACGGCGATGCTCCGCTCCTGTGATCTCCCGCTGAAGCAACATGTGCGAGTCTCTCCCATTTTAGTGAAGTGGAAAGCGGGGGCAGGAGGATCCCACCAGTTAATGAACCCCCAGCTTTTGCAGAGACCGGTAACATGTCGCAGAACTGGCCAGAGCAGCATCGCTGCAATTCACACCAGCATCAGCCGGCGGCAACCACCGAGTCCAACCCCGCTCAGACCCAGCTCCCTGGGAGCCGACGCCATGCCCGCAGCACATGGGCGAAGGTTTGGCAGGGGAAGGCCGGCTGGGGCACAGCCAATGTGGCCTCAAATAGCCCGGCAGCACGGTTTTAAGGGCGGCACGGCTTTATTCATCGCCCAAAGCGCCGCGGGACCTTCAGAGGATTTTCATGCCGGGCAGGGCACCGTGCGAACACGAGATCTGCGACCGCAATGCTATTTTCACATCGGTGAAGCGAACCGAGCACGTAACTGACGGCATCTGCCTGCACCCATGGGTGCTCCCGAGCCCCCCCCCCGGACTGACCTGGGCCCGCGGCCCCTCGGGGTCCCGGCAGGTCGCAAAGATCCAGGCGGGAGGTCGCGATGCCCCAAGCAGCTGCTTGACCAGCTCCAGCCCGATGCCGCGGTTGGAGCCGGTCAGCAGCACCGTACGCGCCCGCACCGCCGCCATGGCCGCCCTCCCCGGTGACCGGCGGAGCGGGGCGGGCCCGGGCCGGTCCCGCCTCCCCGGCCCCGGGCTGGCCGGGAGGGGGTTGCGCCGGGGGGGGGATGGTTTTTGGGTTTTGGGTTTTTTTTCTTTCCTATCTAATATTCAGAACAAAGACACCAAGGGCATCGCCATGCCGGGGGCCCCGCCGGCCCCGCGGGGAGGAGGGTCGGCTCCCGGAGCGATGCTTTGGGAGGGAGGGGGAGGGCTAAAGGGGACCCCCATCTCTTCCCAAGGCTGGGATGCAGGGGAGATGGCTTACAGCATTTCTGGAGTGGTGTCTTCAGCACCTTTAGCACAGCAATGCTATTTTTTCCCCTAGATAGGGGCTGGGATGGGGGCAGGAGGGGGGACGCAACCCTAAATCCCAGCATTGACCCAATTTATCAGGGAGGTACCAAATCCTTCACAGCTGTTTTTATTGACTGCCCAGAAATGCGCCTGATTTGGCTCTTTCTGTGACGATCAGATGCAATGAATTGGGTAAGTAGGCTGTGGTGTGGGGATGGATGGATGGATGGATGGATGGATGGATGGATGGATGGATTTTTCTTGTTGCTTTTGTTGATGGGTGTCAGGTACCTGGTTCAAAGCTGGACCAAAGGTGTGGACAGGAGTAAAGCAAGGAAAAGGTTTGGTGGCATCTAGGGATGGGAAAATGGGGCATGAGGGGAAAGGGAAAACAGAAAAGAGAGCATCAGTGTCAGCTGGAGGACTGTGTCTGGAGGGGACCTGCAAGTACCAGCTCTGCTGCCAGCCTGGAGGTGGGTGTCAATGTTTTATTTTCAGCTGTTACATGGAAAACCAGATGCACAAATGACATTAAAATCCCATTATGGTAAGCACATAACCAGGAGCTCGACAGTGAAGTAATGACTGAGCAACTCTGATTTATATAAGCATCATTATTTTTGTTGCTTATTTTCATCCTTGTTTGACAAACACTAGACAAAACACCTCTGATACCAATAAATACATCAGAAAATAAATAATGATATCAATCTGGTGATAGCATCAGGTGATTTGTGCTACCTTTATCTTGCTGTGCTGTAGCTCAACTACACAGCTGAGCCTCTGCTCCCCAGTTTGCCTTGGGATATAAAAATGCTTTGAGAACCTTTTGGTGATACAGAAAATGCAATTTACTAGGAATAAATCTTTGATTATGCCAATAAATGCTAAGAAGAAGAAACCCTCTTTATAGCATATATTTGAATTAAAGGACCCATTCTCTTTTTCCTGCCTTGTTCTGTGTTCAGGCTGTTAGTTACGTGACGTGTCACCAGAAGTACTGCTCCATCTGTTGCAAAGATTGGTGGATATGTAGCTGTCCTGGTTTTGGCTGGGATAGAGTTAATTTTCTTCCTGGTAGCTGGTACAGTGTTGTGTTTTGGATTTAGCTTCTCATGCCCAGCCAGCAAGAAGGCTGGAGGGGCACAAGAGGTTGGGAGGGGACACAGCCAGGACAGCTGACCCAAACTGGCCAAAGGGGTATTCCATACCATGTGGTGTAATGCCCAGTATATAAACCGGGGGGAGTTGGCCTGGGGGGGTGGATTGCTGCTTGGGAACTAACTGGCCATCGGTCGGCAAGTGGTGAGCAATTGCATTGTGCATCACTTGTTTTGTATATTCTACTTATTATTATTATTGTATTATTATTATTATTATTATTTTATTCCTTTCTGTTCTCTTAAACTGTTCTTATTTCAACCCATGAGTTTTACTTTTTTTCCCGACTCTCTCCCCCATCCCACTGTGGGGGGGAATGAGTGAGTGGTAACAAATGAGGACAGAGGGGTACAAACAAACAGTCATGGTGAACCACACTGAGGAATGGGGGGTTTGCCCACCTGTTCCACATGGATCCTGCACACTGCAGGCAAACTACATTAACCAACTCTTCCTAGGTGCTCACTTCAAAAAGCCCTGGAAACGGGGATCCCTTGTAATCTGCTGTGTAGAAACAATTAATGCGCAGCCACAGCTGAGGTCAGTAGGAGCCTATTCTGAATACAAATGTGAACCGTCTAAAAAGACAAGCTCTAAGCATCTGTAGTTGGATAATTCCCAATACGGACGTTGCTTGACCCACTTTTAGACTTCAGTTCCCCATGTCCAAAATAGGGGATTATCGATTTTTTGGAAAACCTTGTTAGTCAAATATTGCGAGGCTTCCAGAAGGTAATAAAGAGAAATGCAACAACAACAAAAAGCTTACCCAAGTGCTTTAGTTTCTCTATGACAGGCCTTGGTAACTTCCTGCTGCCTGGTAAAGTCTAATCCTGATCTTACTAAATTTTGGAGCACTTGAGTGTATAAATATGAGCATGTTCCACCTGCCTTCAGCCCCCACCTAACCTTGGTGGGCGCTGGTGTCCTGCAGACCCAGCTTCGGTGTCTCTAAAACCTCTCCATGCAGCAGCATAGTCCACCCAACCCTCCCAACTAATGTCCTGTCCTCCTGCATCCCTCAGAAACAGGACATGAAGCTGAGATGTTCCCTACGAAGGAACAAGTCCCAATGCAGGCTTAAGAATTTTTCATGTGTCTTATACTGGTGTGTTTCTTAGGGTGTTAGTCAAATGTCCAGGTTTTACCAGTTGAGAGGCTGGGCCTTCATCACAGAGCAGCTGGTGGGGGCTTGTAGGTAACACAGTTTTAGGAGGAAGGTTGTATATTTTGGCTTTAACAAAGAAGAGGGGCTGGAAAGAACTTGCTGGGGTTTTTTTTCCCCAGCACTGTTTCCACCCATCAGGTGATATAGTGCTCTTTTTAGCCCTGCCTCCTTCTCTCACTCCAACACATGGATGTCAAACCACGCCACTCACAAGCTGGTCATTTAGCCTGTGCCTTAGTGTTTCTGAGATGGGACATATCTCCATGTCATGTATGACAGCCCATTCTCAGACATCACTGTTAGCAAATATAATAGTGGGAGTGCAAATCTGTGCTGCTTGGTGGTTCTGAGGTCCCTCTTCAGGGCATCGTGCTGAAGAAGGAAGGATAACCCAGCCCACTGCCCCCAGAGGGTTTCAGAAGTGAGGCCAGTGGGGATCTGTGGTGTCCCCATGTGTCCCAACAATGTGGCTCTGTCCCTGAGGTCAACTGCCAGTGCTGCCAGCACCGCTGCACACAGGTAGCTGAGTTATCTTGACTGCTCTCAGGAGAGGAATATCCCCAGAAAAGTGCTTCTGAACCCAGTCTGAGGCCCCTAGCTGACACTGGGTCCAAATACTGTGGCCCAAGTGAGGTTGTGTGGAGAGTCTGAGCATTTTAAAACCTCTTCTGGAAGATTTACCTGGAAAAAAAATCCCCTTTGCTGAGGTCTCTGCAGAGGTTCAAGGCTCTGCAGTTACAGTGGGCTGTCCCGTTATCCTCGATACCACTCGTCTCTGGACCTGATGGCAGTTGTGTCCAGGAGACTTCTCCGGCTGCGTGGGGGGACTCCTGCAAGGAACATGGTGGTGTGGCCTCTGCAAGCCTAGGGCAGAGTTGACAGGACCCAAACCACCTTTGGTTTTGTTTCTCCTTCCTTACAATGAGAAGTCAGTTCCTGTGAAACCAGTGTGCAGTGACCTAGCCGGAGCTTGTTGCACATCTCTTAGCATTAGAGAGATGCTAATAGACAGAGACTTTGCAGGGAAGCCTCTCTCTCTGTGCTTTCTCCATGTACCTTTCCTGACAGTCCTAAAATGGGACCAGTACACTCCAGTACTTTACAAGAATTCCATGGTCATTGAGCCAGTGCCTGTCTTTGGGCAACTGAATCAAGCTCACAGGCTCTGAAACTCAATCCAAATCGATTGTGCTCCATCTATACTCAGACTATGAAAAGTATATTGGTCAACATTTTTTAAACTGTCAGGTCAGAAGGGGAAGCAAAAGGCTTGGTTGTTTCCCCTTCTCCTCTCATCCCACTGCCTGATCAGCAGTGTGGTGGGGCTTGAGCAGGCTTCCACCACCAGCTCGGCTGTGATGGGGATGGCTTTTCTGGGCAGGAGGTGGCTGTGCCCCTCCACCCTGCTCAAGTCCAGCAGCATTGAAGGAAAAGTGGCTCCTCTGTGCTCTCTGCCACAAGTAGAGGGTCCCCCCATCCTGCTCTACCCACTTGTGCCTGGGTCTGGTGCAGGAATGCGGGGAGTGAAGGTGTTTTCTGTACTTTGTGCCTCCTCAGCATTGTGTTTGACTCCTGTCAGCACTAATCATCCAGCCCCCACCTTCCATCTAAGCCTCTGTGCCTGCTATTTCCAATGAGCTGGTTTGAGCTCTTCGGAAATGCTTTGCTTAGAGGAAACCCCTGACTCAGGGGCTTTGGTGGGATTCTCTGGAGCTACTGGACCAGAGAACCCGCCATGAGCTTGGAAAAGGAGGAAAGTCTTTATTCCCTGCCTGAAGTAGTCACAAGTGACATATGGTTCCCCACAGATTCATCTGGATCTTAAGAAACCCAGCAGTTCCTGTAGCTGTCCTCTGCACTGGGCAGGGGCTGCCTGGAATCCTGCCTCAGCCTTGGTTTCTTCTCGTGTTAAGCCACAGTTTGCTATGCCAGAGTCCTGAGTGCTTTGCATCTGCTTTCCCTGCTGCCAGACGTTTGGGTTCCTGGGCTCAAAGCCAGCTCTGATATAATGCAGGTGTAACGTGGGTCAGTCTGCTGGGAAAACAGCAAAGCTATGAAAAAGGGCCATGAGAAGCCTTACTTGGGACCTCCTCACCTCGCTTGGGAGCTGCATTTAAGCTCAGGCTCTCACCCTCAGTGTCTGCATGATCCCCTTCACAAGGGGGTGTAACTAGTCCTCTTCAGCAAAAAAGAAAATGAGTCACAGAGGGTGAACATGACCTGCCCAGCTTCAGTTACAGGGCTTGGTAGGTCTCACCCCACCCCTTGATTAGCAGTTCATTCATCACTATCTATTGATTCTTCAGCAAGTGACTAATATGCGATGACATGGCCCAAAACAGCCCTGAATACATCATGGAGCAAGTAGGCTTG